TCCTCGCCTGGGTTAAACGCACGGCAGTGCGCAGCGAAATAGAGTTGGTACCCAGAGGAGGACGGAGGACGGCGGTCAGGGCTTTAAGTACCTTTGCCCACGTCAGCTCCTGGTCACGTGAGGGCCGCATCACCAGTAAGCTTGTGTCTCCAGTTTCCACTCCCACCAAAAACAGGAGCCTCCTCCTTTACCCCCTCTCCCACCTCACCCTACCACATCAGTTCCTGTCACTCATTTTTTGTCTTTGTAGTTCCAGAGGCCAAAAGTAGCCCCCTTTCTGTGTGTTAGAATTTGCCTTTCTCTGGTTACTGGGGAGGGGGTTGTCTCTTCTTGGGCTATTGACAATTTTTAATTTTTTTGTTGTTGTTGGGGAATTGTCTCATCCTCTTCTGGAAAACTAGACACGCTCCCCTTGCTCCACCTCCAACCCCTCGTCACCTAGTGCCCATGATTTCCCTTGCAGTTGGACCCCTACTCCAGTATAAGTAAGGGTCAGAGTGTCAGAAAGGAGACAAGAGGTGGGAATGGGCGCTGTACTTCTGAAACACTTCTCGGTTTTGTTTTTAAAGCTATCATCACCCTTTATTATTATAGTAAGAAAATACAACAAGAGTTCAGTGTGGGAAGCAGACAAAAAAAGGTTGGGCATGTTTTATAAAAAAGATTTCACACTAACATTGGAAGGCACCATTAATTTTGGTTCATTTTTACCACATACAAAATGAATTCTATTGGCCATGTGGGAAGTAGTTTGCAAAACACACTAAGGTATTTTAATATCTAAAAATGGAAATTTTCTCAACAAGATAAGCATGTTTCCATATGATCTGTAAATTGGTCCATGGAGAGATGTTCACTTGTTTGATCTTATTTATTTTGGACAAATAATATCCTACTTTTTCTCCTTCTGGGACAGCTTTTAAGTTGGACAAATAAATGATCCTGTCTTGTTCTGTTAGAGAAGCACATTTATTTAATGTTCCCAAACCATTGCTGCCTGCTGTGTGAACCTCCTGTAATTCGATGGCTGTAACCATGACAGTTTTGAACACCTGTCCTTGGATTAGGTTCCAGTTTTGTCATTCAGCTATGGGCAAAAAGAAGAGCTGTCAGACCAAGGAAATGATGGATGTGAGGGATGCAGAGATGGTCAAATCCTTCTTGTCCTGTCAAGAGGGCAGGGGAAGGTGCTGCCTCTCTACCCACTCCCACCTGCCAGAGCCTCTCATCCCCTGCGGTCAAACACCTGACTCTGTTGCTCACTCCAGAGGTATACATGGACAGGTGACCAAGATGGTAAATGCCACCTTTACTCAGGTGACCAAACTGAGTAAATACCTTTGGCTTCTTTCATCCTTCTTTCCCCTAAATTCCCACACAGGTGACTCAGGAATGCATAGAAGAGATTGCTGTTCCCACCTACCCCTGCAACTGTGGGTTTTCATAAAGCCTGGAGAAGTGATTGCTGGGGGAAGCACCCAGGTATGCCTGCTCTGCCCCCATTCAAGGTGCAAGAGTTAACATTGCTCTTAACACTGTCTGCTGCTACCACCTGGCCTGAGAGGTGCAGCCTGGTGCAACCTCCTCTCAGCTATGTCCTCCTCACTACAGGGCACTCAGGAAGAACCTAGCCTTGATGCAGGGTCATGGCCTGAGGGCCATGCCCACTTTGGTGCCCCTTAGCCAAATATATGCCCTGCCCCAAGGGACTCTCTCCACTGACCACACTGATTAACCTAGAGTAGGCATACTCAACTGGCCACCTCTGTGGTCTACCTGAAATTCTATGCAAGGTATTGTTTGTGAGTGTACGTGTGGTTAAGTCCATTTACTTTCTAAAAATAGAGGTCATTGACCGCATCAGTTTCTGAAGAGTTCTGTGACAACTCCTCCAGATACTGAGAACCAACACAATGTCCAAGAGAATCTGTGTTATATATAGTAGTTCAGATTAGGAATCTCTTGTATGTGTTTTTTTCCCCTGGTAATAATAGAAATATATATTAGTGGTTAAAATATTCAAAACAATAAGGAAATATATGAAGTAATATATCTTTTCCACTCTTAGCCACTGCTAACAATTTCTTTTTATTAACATATTGGTAAGCACATTTGTGCTTATTAATCGAGTTCCAAATTGAGTAATAATCAACAAATAATAAGTATTTGGAATTTGTATTGTAATTGTAGTAAATCTGAAAATTAATTTGAGGGACATTGACATCTTTTTTCTTTTAAATATATCTTTATTGATTTCAGAGAGAGGAAAGGAGAGAGAGAGACAGAAACATCAATGATGAGAGAGAGTCATTGATCGAGCCCGCAACCCAGGCATGTGCTCTAACCGGGAATCGAACCCCAATCGCCTGGATCCTAGGTCGACGCTCAACCGCTGAGCCACGCCCGGCTGGGCAAGGGACATTGACATCTTAACATTGAGAATTCCCCTTCACGAATAAGGTATGTCTTCATTTTGCTCAGATCTATTTTTATGTTAATCAGATTTCATAAGTTTCTTCAGCTATGTAATTCCTATTACTTTTTAGGTTTTTCCTAAGTATTTAGTAGTCTTTGTTGCTGAATTTCCTTTCTCCAATTACAGCTTCTGATAGGTAATTTTCTGTTTAAGGAAAATGTTATATACAATTATATATTTATTTTATATCTGCCAATTTTTGTGATCTGTCTTATTAATTCCAATAGTTTTCAGGTGATACCTTTGGTTTTTGAGATATGTATACATAACAATCTACAAATAATGATCTTTTTAATTTCTTTCTTTATAATATTTATACCCCCCCCCCC